GAGGCCACCCAAGGTGGTCAGGATGCTGGCCTTCATGCTGCGTTTCCTCTTCAACACGCCCTTCGTTCAGTGCTCCCCGTACCTGCCAAAAAATTCTTGGTGGGGCTGCTCGGAGCAGGGAGTGGCATTTGTGGGAGGCTGGTGCTCCAACAAGGGGGAACCGGTGAAGGCGGAGGTGTACTTGTTCCATGAGCAGTTCCACAAGGAAGAATATCCATAAGCCTTCAAGGATGGGGACCCCAAGAGACGGATTGCGGCCCTGGAAATGCTGGGCACACTCTTCCTCTGCAGCATGATCCTTGTTCACCAGGGCCCTTTGTCCTGCCGGGTGAGGCTCCCGGTGGGCAGTGGCAATCAACGTCATGGCAATGCTCAACCTTGGGTCCAACAAACCCTACACCGCGGCTATCTTGATGGAGTTGGTGCTCCTGCTCCACACGCATGGCTGGCCACGTGCCGCGCGAGTTCAACCAGGGCTGATGATTTGACCCACCCTGACTTTGAGGGGTTTGATCTGTCGAATAGAGTCCCTAAGCAGGAACTCTGTTCTGATTTTGAAGCTCCCGTGATCGGAGCCGGTGGGCGACTCTCTTCCCCTTGGTGGCAGACCCCCCAAGGCCTGGGTGCCTCCCGGCCACGGGGCGCTATCAGTCTGCACACCCTTTTTCTTCATGATTTGGATCCGGGTGGGTGGCCATTGGGCCCACCCAGCCTGGAGTCTCCTTCAGAGGAAGATGAGTCCCCGGCACCAACACAATGCTTGGATAAAAGAGTTATCGCATGCTTGTGTGGTGCCGTTTGGTTGGCTTGCACACTGTTCTTAAAAAAAGTAGAGCGTGTGCCATGTTTGCCGAGTCCCACGCCTGCCATGCGAGTGTCGGAAGAAAAAGTCACTTTTCCGGGCACGGTGAACGTTCCGCCGGCTTGTTGTACTTATGTCTCATCCTCTATTTTCCTGCAAAAGAGACTCATTGTTCATAGTGACGACACCTTGTCCCATGTCCATGATCCGGATTGTATACGCATGTGTAGACGTACACATATCTATATAGATAAACGCCCCAGCTGTTTCCTGACACACAACACATCTCGCAAGATTTTTGGTGCCAATTTGAGGATTTCGCTGTGCCCAAAAATGCTCCCAGGGTACTTCCCGGACTCCGTGTCGGCGCGGGCGAGCCGGCACGTGGCAGAGCTTGCCGCGCTGGCAAGCCAGGGCACCAAATGCACCTCGGCAGCCTTTGCGTTGAGGTACACAGGATTGTTGTTGAAAGGGTGGTTGAAACACAAAGGCGAGTTTTTTCTCAAATCTGGGCGACAACCAGTCAGTGAGCTGAGCAAGTGATGTCAATGATATGCTTGTGGTTCAGTTTGTGATTTGGACTCCCTTTGCTGGCAGCATTTGAACCCTCCGAGCCTGAAAGTGGGTGTTGTGCTCAAGTGAGGCCCACCATGGGACAAAGTCTGCACTTGACTGATTCGGCGCGTTTGAAGACACAGGTTTCATAGCTACATAATTAACAGTCCCCCATGCATGACTTGGTCAACTTTTATTTTTCCGGATTGGAACAGCCCCCCATCCGGGTTCGCGTACCAACTCAAAAAGCCGACGCTCCCATTGGGGCCATTCGTCACAAACCACAAGTGGGACGTGACAGTTTGAGGGGAGTCGAGGCCAACTCTCTCGGTGTGGGGGACCGGTCCTCACAATCAGTTGTTTTTTTTTAGGTGTTTCTTTATGCCAGCCCCAAAAAAGTACCAACTCCAAACAACACATACCCCATGCGGCACTGGGATTCTCAAAAAGGGTTCCCTGAATCCCGAATCACCCGAATCCAGGCAAAAAGGTTTTTCGGACAAGGGCCGTTTGGCCTTCGTAGTTCTCGCACCTTGGAAAGCCTTCGAACTGGGTTTCCCCTTGTGTGATTCATTTTGGTGAGGTTGAGGAGTGAATTGTGCCAAATTAAACAACCTGTTTAACGGGAAATCAAATGTTCAAACAGTTTCAACACGCACCAGCGACATACCTGGCCCCAGCCCAGGCACGGTCATCTTCGTGGTGCAGCGAGGGGATTTGCTGGGTAAAGTACGGCCTTCCGAGTACCACGACCCGACCTTCGCAGCGGCATGTCGCAACTTTGCACAAAGAACGGGGGAGAAGGGTGCCGAAGGATTTAAAGGCCCCGCGGTTTGCGTGTGTGTGTGTGTGGGGGTTATTGTGTTTGTGCTGGGTTATGGAGGTGTGTGGTGTTTGTGTCTTGCTGTGTTGTTTGTTGCGTGTATTTTGTGTTTGGTTGAGCTGCCAAAGGAGAACAAAGCGAAGGCCACGAACAACACGACGATGCTGATGCCGAAGTCTTCCAAAGGCAAATGCTGACAGCTTGAACTCAAAGAGAAAGCAGTCATGATTCATGCTGATCATGCTCGGGAGGTTGAAACCCATGGTTTGACAACACGGACATTGTTTGTGGGGTAATTGAACAGACACCCATGAGAGCAAGGGAAGTACAGCTGTTCTAATCCAACTGCCAAGGCCTGAGAACTGACCAAGCCAGCATCACCAGCCTGGGGACGTTGAGGGAACAAAATCAGTGGGGGGCAGGTAAAACAAAGGGACACATCCAGCCGGACATCCTGTGCCTCTGTTTTCTTCGCGGAGGGCCTGGAGGTCTGCGAAGATCCCGTCCCCATCCCGCTGAGTGGAAGTTGCTGCCTCAAGATCAAAACCTTGTGAAAAGATGGGAATCGGTTTGCTTTGGGTTTCCCTTGAAACTAAATTTCCTAGCCAGAATCAAGTGTCTAATGCAGCTCGAGGCGTGGCGAAGCGCAGGGTTTGTTCAGAAGCTTGAAACAAGCGCGGAAAGGATCACTTACGCAAGGGGTTGGGAGGGCTGGGGGCGGGGTGGGGCGTTCACGTAAACGAACTTCGGCGCGCATTCCCCATTGGCGCGGCCATTGCGCGAGCTTTCAGTGATCCGAAATGATGATGTCCTGTCAGTCCTGGCCATGGCGAGGATTGCCGTGTGCCGGTGCCAACCGCTCTTTGCTTGATTTTTTGCCCTGCCGCTGCATCACAGTGCCAACTTTAGGACACATTGCAGTGGATAGATCCTGGCAAGACCACGAAAGACAAGCAGAGTTGATGCTCGTTTTGAAGAGAAGCCAAAGGGAAACCCACCCAGTGTGTTTTGTTGGATCTGCTACCATTTGTTTGGCAGGTTGAGAAGGCAACCGCCCAAAGACAACCCAAGTTCAGCACCAAAGCAGATTGATCAATCCGAAACCTTGAGCCTGGACTTACCGTGGCAGTGGCACCGGAATTGCGGCGGATTTTTTTTGTGGTCCACGCCCGCCTTGCTTCAGCTGAGATGTTGCAGGTAGCCCCAGCGGACTGTGCCCCCTTAGTCAAAACGCTCGTCTGCTACTGGCGGCGTGACCTTTTTTTTTTGGTGGTGCAAGTGTGGGAATAGTTTCCCCCAAAAAGGGCAAAGAACAAACTTGCTGGTTCTCAGCAGGGAATGAGGACATGACCCTTTTCAACAATCATTTTTTTGGGTGGTTTCCTTTAAGGGACTAGGTTCACTCCCAGGTCATTCCCTACCTATCGCGCCAGCCAGAAGACGTGGCGTCTTCGTTAGGTGCTGCGGCATTGGCGGGGGTGCGCTTCCGTGGCTTGCTGGTGTCCTGTAGCCTCACCGGGCCGGGGCCAAAGCTCGAGCGAGTCTTCGAGCGAGCGCAAGATGCGTGAGATGAGCTGCGGCCAAGGGGTTCCTCAACTTCTGGTTTTGGTGTTTCAGCATGTCTTTGAATAAATTTCCTTTGGTCCTCTGGGTTGAAAGCCATATTTCCCTTGGTCCTCTGGGTTGAAAGCCATATCCCCTGCACGACCATGTTCTCCGGCTCAAAGGCACTTAAACCTAAAATCCGAAGCCCTCAGGATAGAGCCCGAAAACCTTTTGGGATCCTTGATGACAACCCTTCCTTTGATTCAAGAAAGCCTCTAAAATCGGAGATTCCTTCTCAAGATTGTACTCATGAGCTATCGCAATTTGCGGAGATCTTTTTGGGATCATGAATAGCTTGACGCGTTCAAATCAGGGGACCGTTGTTTTGCAGAATGAACCAAGCAGATCCTTTTGTGACATATATGCACTCAAGCCGCCTGCTAAATTGTAAAAGGAAACCTTTTGGGGCGAACCGAACTTTGGAACCTAGTGGGTTTCCTGAACTTCTCAGCTTGCAACAAATCGCTAGAGTTGCTGAGACCCAGGCGCATGGTGCTGAACTTGGGTTGTCTTTGGGCGGTTTCCTTCTCAAAGAACCAAACCAATGGTAGCAGATCCCACAAGGCGCTCTGGGTGGGTTTCCCTTTGGCTTCTCTTCAAAACGAGCAGAAGGGCATCAACTCCAACGGCATCTCACGCCAGGCTGGAAGTACTTCGGGAAGTGGAGGTGGATCTGGAGGACGGAAGCGATGTGAGAAGCGGTCAATGTTTGCTGTCATCGGTGGTGACGGGGATGGCATGGGGCCAAGCGAGCAAGTTGCCAGGACACCCCGTCCCTGGCTCATTTGAGGTTTGGTACCCTTTTTAAGGTTGGTCTAAATGGGAAAATGCCGCATGCCCATGCTTGAATTCCATTGGAGGTTCGGTCCATGTTCATTTGGGAGGGACATGAGGAGGCATGTCGTTTTGTTTGGGGGAAAGCGATTTTTGACGTGCGGTGTTTGTTTGCTTGTCCCAAGGCAAACTTAAACACGCACGTCAACCTCTGGGTTTATGTCTACCGGGGCCTGAGTGCCATGGTCATAGCACCTTCTATCGGGCCCCACGTTTGCTTGGAGTTCTGACCACGCGGTCAGCATGGTCGGCCTGTTGGAATTCGAAGTTGTCGCGTGAGATTGGCTCTTGCCTCATCCCAACATGGAAGCAAAGACGGGTGCCTCTTTCTGGTTCAGAAACCCAGTGCTTTGCATGTTTGGAATTCGTGAGGTTTTTAGGTTTGTAGTTGGTTTATTGGGGGGTTCCGTATTTGACCCACAAGCTATTCTCTTTCAGCAGGGCAGGAGATCAGTTTGGACAGCCCAACAGGAATGATCCTAGGAAGAAGTTGGGGATTGATTTCCCATGTCCACAGTCGCCCGTGACCCCTCATACCATTCAAGAACCATGCCGAACACAGAGCCCCAGACGATTCCCCGCATGCGGTTGTTCATGCAAACAAGCATCGGGAAGCTACACATGGAAGAAATGTGCGCCACGCAGTTGTGTAGAGAGCAACTGTCAAGCAAGGTGCATCATGCAAATATAACTCGAGAACGCCGAAAAGCAAGGGAACGGTTCCATCTCGGACATGGGATCCGGGGAAAAGTAATACCAACAAACAGAAACAACTAAAATATAAGCCCCACTGGAGAGCGGTTCCAGATCCTGAAACCATAGGGTTTGTACTGTTGGTTTCTTTGTTTGTTTGGTTTTCCTGATTTATGTTTGCATATGTTGCACTTCCCTTTGCAGGCCTGTGCGCAAGAGCTTCTGTGTTCAAGGAGCACTTGGGTAGCTCACAAGCCTTTGTACAGCATTAATTGTCAACCGATGTGCAAAGAGCATACTATTGGAAAGGACATCCTGTGTAATTGCTTAATTTGAAAAAGGATACATATGATTGGAGTTTGTCCTTCTAAATGTCTATTTCATATCAGCTAATCACAGAGCACGCTTTGAAACAAGATATCGTGTTTTGCATTATATTTATATGCGAAATAGAACATATGATTGTAGTTGTTGTTATTAACTTTCATTTGAATTCAGTTCAACCTTGTGAGTATATTTTGATGAAGGCATTAAGTAGCATTCATGAGGAAATACTTCAGAGGTTGCAAATTCATGCTTTGACTAGCTCCAGTACTACCCTGGTTTGCAAACACCATGATACAGTTGTGCAAGTTGTTAGTACTACATTCATATCACCACCAACGGCCGCTCTCTAAAATTCCATCAGCATAAAATTGATTTAAATGGGACTCAAAAAGGAGATACTTGTTCCGAGTCCTACTGGAAATCACAGCTTAGCTAGAGAGTTTAGAAGGAATAAGTTTCCAGTAGAGCTTCGCAATTCAACACGAGTTTAGATAGAATGTGATAAAGAAGGAGCCCGGTCATAATGTCGATTTTAAACTATGAACTACAAATAGATTCTAAGTAATGTGTATTATATGTCAAATTCACCGTCACACAGAGTTTCATTTCCATTAGTTGTTGGTTTTTTTTGCAAATCAGATAACATTTGAGACCAACTTAGTCAAACAGAGATGAGCTCAAATGTCCATGGAAGTATGAGAAGCGCACGCTCGCAGTAACCAGCTCTCAAAAAAGCCGGAGCCTTATGGTTACACATAGTTCGAGTCGCTGGGAATCACATGGGTCAAGAAGGATCGAGACGGGTTTGGTGTTATTCGACGGAAGGACTCCATCTTTGTTTGATGGTATCCGTGTTCGGGAAGTCACAAAATAAAGTAGGCATATGTCTGGGACTTATCTTCATTTGGACACGCACCTACCTGAGCGACAAGCGACATTGCTATGGGTGTTTCATGGTCCCCTGTCAGTTTTGCAAATTTGGGACTCGGGTTTTGGCGTATCGTTTTAATCTTCATTGTGTAAAGAGCTAGCTGTGTACTGGAAATTCGCTGGAAATTCGCAACACCTTTTTTGTGGTGTTTGGCTAATTTCTCGCAGAATGCCCTGTGGCCGAAGAGTCTTGGGTTCTCAAAAAGGGCAATGTTGGGGCCCAAAACCTTCTATTGGAGATCCCTCCAATGGAGAGTCCCTTGTTTAGGGTGGCTGATGTCTCTGACAGGACGTCGCGCGCGAACATGAAATGCGAACTAGGAGTACGACTTGAACCCCATCGCTGGGTGGGTCGCCGACAATCGCGAGACAACTGGCTGGATCCGTTCTGCCACTCGGCACGACCCTTGGTTTCCGTGCGACTCAGAACGTATCTCTTGGCAGTTCAATGGGGGCACTTAGGAGGTGGCTAGCCCTAGTTGAAAACCAGGGTTACCACTGAGTACCCTGCCCCCTTTTTCCCTTCACTTCTCATGCCAATCGGTTGGTACCTCCCTCCGAAGGAATGTATTGCATGTCTGGGCACGTCACGCACGTATTTCCTCGCCAGGTCTAGAGCAGAGCTCTCATGCACTTTCGATGTTCGATCTTAGGCATCGCAGAAGAGAGTGGCGAATGGACCGTTCCCTCACAGGAAGGTCAAGACAAGGCAGGGCTGCCCTTTAGAAGGGCCGCATTTGCCTTTATTCTTGGGGTTGATTCCCCATTATTTTCAAAAACCGGCTGTTTCACCTGGGTTTTTGATGGTTTCCTGAACAGAAGGATCCCTGGCAAGAATGGAAATGGAAGGTACCCCTAGATTTCTCCTTCCGGAGGAGATCGAATCAAGTCTTCAAGGTGCCGCTGAGGGAGCAGGCGGGGTGGGGTTTGTCTCAATGGGGTTTGCCCCTTTTGGATGGTTCCAATTGGGTTGCCTCAAAATTAAGCAGGAGGGGCAAACCACAGGTTTTGGTCCATGTTTCCACTTACCAGGGCAACCCATTTTGGGATTCCGGTTTTTTGGTACCGGTTTCAATTGAGAAAGCAACTGAGCCACAATCAAAACCCGGGTAGATGATCCGGTTAGTAAGGGGCAGTCCCAGCCAGAAATAGTTGCGGATATCCGCCTTCATAGTTTTTGAAGCATGGTCCTAGGTAGACCATTTTAACACCGGGTTTTGATTGTATCACATAAGGATTGAATCTAAGCGACATCCCACCAAACCTCTATCATGCACTTTTCTCCATAAACTTTAGTTTGCGTTTTTTTTCAACTCTTTGGCTTGCGATGGAAAGAGGGTTGATTTTAAACAAGATCCCACCAAACCCCTTTTGTCGGACTGTTCTCCAAAAGATTTCGTCTGCGAACATGTTTGTCAATTCTTCGGCTTGCGATGGAAAAAGGATTGAATTTAAGCAACAACCCACCAGACCCTCTTTATAGGACTTTTCTCCATACACTTTAGTCTGCAAAATTGATTGTCAATTCTTTGGCTTGCGATGGAAAGAGGGTTGAAGGTTGAACTTAAACACGATCCCACCCAACCCCTTTTGATAGGGCTCTTGTCAATAGACTTCAGTCTGCAAAAATGTTTGTCAATTCTTCGGCTTGCGATGGAGAAAGGGTTGAATTTAAGCAAGATCCCACAAAACCCCTTTTATAGGACTGTTCTCCATAAACTTTAGTCTGCAAAAATGTTTGTCAATTCTTTGGCTTGCGATGGATAGAGGGTTGAATCTAAGCAACATCCCACCAAACCCTTTTGTAGGACTGTTCTCCATAAACTTTAGTCTGCGAAAATGTTTGTCAATTCTTCGGGTTGCGATGAAAAGAGGGTTGAACTTAAACAAGATCCCACCCAACCCCTTTTGATAGGGCTCTTCTCAATAGACTTCAGTCTGCAAAAATGTTTGTCAATTTTTCGGCTTGCGATGGAAAAAGGGTTGAATCTAAACAAGCTCCCACACAACTCTTTTATAGGACTCCTCTCCATAAACTTTAGTCTGCGAAATTGATTGTCAATTCTTCGGCTTGCGATGGAAAGAGGGTTGAATTTAAACAAGATGCCACAAAACCCCTTTTACAGGACTGTTCTCCATAAACTTTAGTCTGTGAAATTGATTGTCAATTCTTGAGCTTGCGATGGAAAGAGGGTTGAATTTTAGCAACATCCCACCACTCCAAAACTTTAGTCTGCGAACATGTTTGTCAATTCTTCGTCCTGTGATGGAAAGAGGGTTGAATTTAAGCAACATCCCACCAAACTCTTTTGTAGGACTGTTCTCCATGAACTTTAGTGTTTGTCAATTCTTCGGCTTGAGTCTGCGAAATGTTGTCAATTATTCGTGTTTTTCTGGGAAGGAACGTTGGCTTGCCAAAACGAAATGACACGGGTTCAACGGGTGCGTTGCCCTGCGGAGGTGGCGTGTATTGACCTGTCCTAAGCACAAGGACGCAGCTGCGGGGCTCAGTCGCGGATTGCACAGGGACGTCAAAGAGACGTCCACATAGGGATCCATGTCAGAGGGTTGTCCTTGAAGACTATCAAATGTACAACTGAAAGTGGCTTATCTTATATCTTCGTAGTATTATATGTGCTTTGTTTCTATAAAGTAACTATTTAGATATGTCTCTTTCATAAGAGTTACCAACCAATAATTTTGAAACCTGCAATTAATAATATTCAGAGTTGGTAACTTGTCAACCAACAAGGACACAAGAGGACAACTCGGACATGGGCAACCTGTTCCGTTCCGTGTCACAGGTTCGACCAGTCGTTTGGCATTCTGCGTGAGAAAAGCTGCGACGCGCCCACCTAATGTTCGTCAAAGGATCCGGGACCCGTTACAATGTCTATCATTTTGTACTGCCCACAAGCTGTACGTTACAGGAAAGACGGGTTTAGCTGATAGGATTCTGCACACTGTTGGAGGTTCTGCAAGCTGTCTGCCTCGGGTTTCTTTGTGAAAGCGCCCGAGGAAAAAGCGGCGCTGCGTGCCGGAGATGTGGGACTCTTGGCGCGCGGTCTGCCAAACCCATCAGGTGCCAGGGGGGGCCCAGGGGTGCCCAATAGGTCATGGTCATGTCCCCTCCAACGCAGACGTCAGGGGTCGTGAAATAAACAAACCCGACTCCTATCACGAACCAGAACCAATTTCTCAAGCTCACAACGAACTATTTTTGAGGACCCCAAAACAAGGGAGGCCCTTACCTTGGCTTATGATAGGGTTCCCTTGGTGATTTTCCAAAACAGTTGAGGGAAATCGGATTGGCCAACACTCCTTTTTGAACAGCGCAACAAAACAGCCTTCCACAACAAGAAGTACTTTGAACATTGGATGCCTAGCCTGGGAATGTCGGAATTGAGCTCGGAGCAGTTCAAGCGGATAGTAAGTCCGAATGCAAGTTGTGTTTGTTGTCTTCTGGCCTTTCATTCGTTGCCATGGATTTTGGGTTTCAGTTGTTCTGTGGCACCCTTTTTCCCTTTTTTTGTGGCTGCCCCACTAAAAATAGTCTTCCCCGAAAAGGGTTCTTTTTTTCCAGGGTCACTGAACAACTGAGGGGTAGACTTTACGCCAGATTTGTTTGCGTGAAGCACAAGCAACGAAGGCCTTGTCGCCAGCCCTGGAGGAGGCAAATACCGAACCTCCGGTCATGTCCCTTAAAGATCACTGTTCCTCAAACCCTCAACAGATACACGTTGCCCATTTGAAACATGGCTTTTCCACCAAAATAAAGGGAAACCGCCATTTACAAGGCAATGTTCTGGTGTATAATGTAAGGATCCCTGGACCGGTCATGTCCCTTAAAGATCACTGTTTCTGGCTCTTCCTTGATTGTTTTTCTGGTTGCCTGTTATTCATGTTGTATAGCATCCTTTTTTCCTAGCGTTGTTTGCTGATTGGATATCGTTGTGTAGTTGCATCGTTGTGTCTCGTGTTCTTTCTTCCAATCTTTCTTGCTTTATTTCATGTTTGGTCCCTTCTCCTTACTCATTCCCTTATGCTTGTTGCTTCTACTTTGTTTCTGATGAGTGCTGTGTCTATAGTTTGCATTTTGCTTTCTAGATGATTCCCGTTCTTTGTTCATTTGATCGTCGTTGTTGTTAAATTGGTAGGCATCACCTTGCCTACGTCACGTGCGTTCATGGGAAATCATTGTTTGTTGGTATTTGCAGGGTGAATCATCATAACCCAGGGTTGCTTAGGTGGTGCCTAAGAGGATTTATTTAGCCCATCCACCGCCCCGAAGCACGGGGCAGCACAAGTTTGCGCCTCGCTCGCCAGGAGATTTGGACAGAGGCCGGGGCGAGCAGCGGGAAGGTGCTGGAAGCTTAGAGCGGAGCACTCAATCCGGGGGTGCTTGTACATACCCCTTTAACATCCCCCTTGAACAAATGAACCCAAAAGGCCTGCTGATGTTCATACCCCCCCTTATAAAGTGGGTTGGAAACCTCAAGCCAAGGGGTATGTACTTCCTTAGACTCAAGTTTAGCCAGGAGATTCCACCATGAACGGCTGAAAATCCCGGCCAAAGCCCACTGGCTTGGGCTACGGTCCCCCAGCTAGGTGCCCTTTTGAACTCCTTTTGTGCTCCTGTTACGGTTGGGAGGGAAAACCCCCTACTAAACTAGACCACAGAAAAAAGTTGGTACCCTTGTTCTAGCCTCTCTACTGGAGGACCTAGAAGGTCTGTCCTGTGCCTCGGGTTCGTGTGCTCTTGGGGGTAGTTCCAGTCTGGTGAAGTGCAGGGCCTTTTCTTGGGGGGGAGCAAAGTCGAGACACAGCCATGGAGCGGGGGACTGCAAGTTGACGTGCCCATGCCATTTGCTGTATGCTGCTGAAGCTGGTGATGCTGGCAACACTCGCAATGCTGATCATCCAGGCAGTGCTACTATGTGCTACTGCCTGCGGTTTGGTGAGTTTGCAAGGAACCATGAGCCCTGCCCCCCCCCCCCGATTCTTTGCATGCGGAGTTTTATCCGTGCTCCTTGACCTATCATTTTTTTGTTCGCTCCCAGGTATGTTTGGCTTGAGTTGTTGCCCACCTGCCCACCTGCCTGCGTGGCCGCCTGCCCGCCTGCCTAGCTGGATCCCTGCCTTGATGCAGCTGAGAAGCCGGGGCGTTTCTCATGTAACGTGTCTGACTAAAACCGGTCAACCCAAAAAAGGGTCTCCCTGAAATGGAAAAATAGTCAACCCCAAAAGGGGTCTCCCTTTTTTCTTCATAATCAGTCTGGATTCAACTCGAGTGCCCGATGTCATTCGTCACTTTTCTGCTGAGGCAGAAAGTGCTGGCCAGAGTCGAAGAGTTGGCGGCATCAAACCTTGAGAGGGGGCCTGGTGCTTAGAGCAAGTGCGAACTCAAGTGTCTCATGGTTCAAAAGCTGGGTGGTATTTGTTCACTGCGCTTTTGGGGTCGTAAGGGAAACTGGGACCGGTCTATTTAAAGGTACACCCAGTGATTCTGAGCCCATGGCGGAGGTGGGAACGCTGGAATCGTTCACGTATGGCAGCGGAGGACAGGCGTCCAGCAGTCGAGCAAGGTGTGGATCGAGGGTTGATTGTATGGACACAGATGGAGATCCCAAAGTGTGTAAAAATGTCCGCCCTTTTGAACGAGAGCTGCTTTTTGAGTCTGGGAACAGCAATTTATGACACATGTTGTATGAAGCCATTGCTCTTGGTGACTGCTTTTCAACAATTAAGCCATGCTGAGTGGCCAATTCAATGGCTCATAAGTGCATCATCTACCCAGGCGTAGTGATTCAGAGCCTGGCATTGCAGCCTGGCGACTAGAGACTAGTGACGATGAACCATCCAGGGACATATGGTTCTGTCTTTTTTGAAGGTACCCTGTTGAAGGGAGCGCGGAAAGCCACCTTTGTTTATTGTGGGTGGGTCCCTGAATGTTTTGTTTATTTGGAGGGGGGTCCCCTAGGAAAGGCACATTGAATTTGGTGACTCTTAGTTGGTGATTTGGATTGGATTGGGGAGCCCCGAACTTGGGTTGCTGAATGGGAAACCCCTCCTTAACCACCAAACCACCGAGCTGACCCATATGGCCATGGGTCATAACTATACCTGGACCCTCCTAAGTGCGCATTTGTTGTGCTGTTTGGGCCAAAGGCTCCTTTTGGTGCAAACGACACATTTGTTTGCCTCAGTTGTTTTTCTCCGGATTTTGCTGCTTTGCGAAACCAGGATGAAGACGAAAAGGCGACATTGCCCGACCCAAAGGCAACATTCCCCGACCAAAAAGCGACATTTGCCGACCACGTTCTGGCAAGATTTTGAAGTAGCATGTGTTGAAGGAAAAGGTTCTTTTTGGAGCAAACGACACAACATATTGCTTTTTCAGCAAGCGGCAGAAAAAAGGCACACCTGGAGGGTCCAGGTATGCCTCCATTTTGGGGCGGATGAACACCCATGCACCACCTATTTTGATGTTTATCAGGGGTACCATTGGTTTTGACCCACAGCCATCCCCCTCCTGTGGGCGGAGGAGCGGCAGACGCGGCGCACGCAGCGCCGCCAGGCTGAGGAGCTCCGACGCATGTGCCGGGAGGCGCCGGGACTCGAGCGCGGGGAGCGCGGGGAGCGCTCGCTTTTTTGCGGTCGGACGGGAGGAGTTTCTTGGGTGGTTCAAGTGGGTCATGTCTTTACTGCTATTGAGGATATTTAGACCTTTAACTTTTTGGATGCTCCTCATATGTCCTTTTAGCCTTTTTGCTGGGGGGTCTACAAAGTGGGTAATGTTGACCACATGCTGTGGATGGGTCGAAATCCTGGATCATTGGGTTGGATTTGTGCACTTAAATCAAAAGAGAAGCACGGATACCCCTTTGTCAACCTGTAAAAAGATAAGCTTTCTGCTGGGAAGTCTACAGCACCCAAGATGTTGACCCCATACTGACCAACCCCAGTTTATGAATAGTGGGGTGTCCATGTCTGCGTTGAGTGGGAATCAGACCACTTTTGCAGGGACCCCACACCCCTGTGAATATCTGGGGTTGGGTGAGAGAATGACAACGAGTTTCCGGGTTGTTGGGAATGAACCGGTTTAGGGGGATTCCCCAACAAAGGAAACCATTGGACATGGCATTCCCTCCCCCAAACCAAATAAAGGAAGCAAGAAGTGGGTCAATGAAACGCGGTTCTCCTGCTGGCTATGGCCGCGGGTTGTTCGCATGACCTTTTTGGCTGAACTTAGGGCGCACTTAAAATCAGAACCCGATCCCCAGAAGCTTTGGACGACCAGGTAGCCAATAGGTTCTCAATTCTGCCTCTCCCCAAGTCAGATTGGCTGTTCAACGGCAATCCTCAATCTTCACCCTGCGGTACGAAATGGGTCCCCTCTGTAGTGGTTGTCCCAACCAGGATGGTGGAAACTCGGAGTCGCCACCACTCCATTTTAAACCGCCCAAAAAAATGCCCCCCAAACTGCCTTTAAATAGCCCAGCTACTATTTGTTTTTTGCTGGGTCTGAAAGCATTCCATTCAATTTATTCAACTTTTGGCCTCTGAATCTCAGTTGTTCAGTGGCACCCTTTTTCCCTTTTTTGTGGTGGCCACTAAAAAGGGTTCCTTTTTTTTTCCCAGAGTCTCTGGACAGCTGAGGAATTTCAGTCCAAGACTGGCCTTTTGACTCGTTCAGTGCCAAGGACCGCGCCTCTCAGCGCTGGTGCCAGCGACAGCTGCGCCAAGAAGCGCAGGAGGCCGGTTTGGTGAGACCACTTAGCCAAGTCCGTTTCGCCGCCTCGGTGCCCGATGTTGATCCCATAAAACGGAGCAAAGCCCAAAAAAAAGCAAGAACGATTCATTAGTAGTGTGTCCAGGTCTGCGTTTCGTGGAAATGACCCCATGTTAATCAACCCATGTTGACCCCAGTTGAATCAACCCCGGTTCATTAGTAGTCTAGGTGCCCCCAGCTAGGTGCCTGTTTTTACCGTTCTTTTCGGGGGGAGGGTTCAACCCTACTAAAATAGACTACAGAAAAAAGGGTACGCGTATTCTAACCTCTCTACTGGAGGATCTAGTAGTGTGTCCATGTCTGCGTTTCGTGGGAATCAGACCATTTTTGAGGCTCGGTTCCGAAGAATGGGGGTTGATCAAAAGGTCCGAAATACATGGGATGACCGTGGGGGAAAACGCCTAAACAAGATGATGTTTTACACTAAATGGGAGAAGTTACCCATGGTCATTTGGGGGCCCGGAATATTGATCAACCCCCATATTGAATACAAAGATGCAAGAACAAGGATTGCCCGGTTTGGGATTGGCTTAAAGGAAAAACCAAAAGGACACCATGTTTTTTTGAGATTCCTAATTTCAAGACACACCCATGTGTCAACATACGGATCTGGACCCCCACATTTGATGTGTTCCTAAACCGACTTCAAAACTGGTACCCTCCAAAACCGCACCCCCCCTCCCATTTATTGTGTCCTGACCGGTGGATTTTGGTGAGCCCCAATTTCCTTGCACCAATGTCATTCCCTCAGTAGATGACCCTGAATATTGACCGTTGCTTCTGCCCAACGCCCCTTTGTTTGCTTCCAACATAAAATGAGATCGAGCCCAGGTTCCTGTTTTTCTATCAGGGTCACCGGGATAGCTGGCATTTTGTTTTTTTTGAATCATCTTCAAAGAGCTTTCATTGCATAGATCTTCCAAAGAAGGCTGGCTTCTCCCCAGTTCAAGCAGGTCAGAAGATCCGCAAGCCTATTCGGATACAGATGGACTGGCAGAGACAGAGAGAGAGGGAGAGAGAGAGAGGGAGACAGAGAGAGAGAGAGAGGGAGATCGAATGTGAACAGTCGTGGACACTTGTTGTTTGATTTAGCTTGGTTTCTTCGCCACCAAGACGCCCAGGCAGCCATCCTCCGACGAATCGACCTTCTTCTAGCCAAGTGGCTGCTCCGAAGCAAAGGGAAGGCGGTGGGCAAATCTCCGTTTGGGAAGATGTTTGCAATGAATCATTGCTTGACACAAGGCCAGGATCGGGTAGGTTTCCGGTGAGAGAACCCGGAGTGTCGATTCCCCAGATTCTTTCTGGGGGAGGGGCCTAATTAGGCAAACCCCTCCTCTTTGCTACCAAGCTGGGTCAACACTTGGGAACATCTTGCATCTTTGCCCACTCAAAGCATAGAACAAATGAAATCTGAGGGTTTAGGGCCAGCCTTCCCTGCAAAACCTCCAAACTCACCATCCCAACTCCGCTCCGTTAGGAGTTTGGCGACAGAGATACGTATCGAGGAGAGGAAGGGGCCAGGGGTTCAACTGGGTGTGTCATTTTTCTATGAGCCCCCCCAAAAAAACAAATGAGAGGTCTTTTTCCTTCTGGTTTCCCTTGAAACATCCCACAAAAACCGGGTGCCCTCAAACGGAACGACGGAGCCGGGCGAAAAATATCCCAGCGACTCCTCCGAGGCGATGCGCGTGATCCGAGCGCGATTCGCGGAGGCCTTGGTCGTGGGATCACTCGGGGATAAAATCCCCCACTGTGATACGTTTGGATTTTATTTGTTTTTTGCGAAAAGGGGCTAGTCTTTGGGGTTAATTCGGCCCCTTTTTTGTTGTATCACAGAAGTGGATTCCATTTCAATCACAGCCCTGCTCAAGACCAAAGGTGTGGGGCATCCTTAAGACACCACGCCGAAGCTCGGGGGTCTTGATGGGCAAAGCATTGTAGCGTCATGGGCCGGGGGCGGGGGGGGGGGGGTCTTGGAACAAGGGAAATGGCAGCTCCAATTTCAATTTTGGGCGGGTCTTCAACTGCTAGCTGTTAGAAACGGCATTTGTCAGATTGACCTTGGAGCTTTTCAGATATTTGTTCTACATTTGCCTTCCGTTTGTAGTCAGGGGACGATCTCATGGACAAGAACACTTTCACTGTGGATTTGGGCCAAACTCCCGGGAATATGGCTGGGGGGCGAACCCTGAGAGGAGTTGGATTTCCCGTGGCTCTTGGTTTCGCCCAGGTTTGGACTCATCTGTCCGCCATATCCACAAGCCCACGCAAGTTGGCAAGGCGGCGCATGTTTTGTGAGGAAAGCTTAAGATAAAAAGCTTGGGAGTCAATCACGGCGAATTCGAGTTGGAAACGGTTTTCTCCGGTTCTTCTTGCCTCCCGAAGCGAGCTGTGCCAACTCCATGTTGCCACAGATGGGCCACTGTGTCCACATGGGAGCCTTGCTTCCCGACCTGAGCGAGTGGTGACCAAAAGTAGCGCGATGGGAGTTGGAGCCGTCCCTGGTGCATGCAGCTTCTGCCGATCTCAAGGTGAGAGGTCCACACTCCCCTCCATTCGCGACTGACCCACTCATACTGTGGATGGACGAAATCCTGCACCTAAGAAACCCTGGAGTGATGATTCCCTTTGTAAGTATTAATAAACGGTATGTTTCAATCATGGCATGTCTGCACAGTTTCCAGGAACCTGAGAACCAGCAATGGTACTCTTTGTGCCCCGGCGGGAGTCCTTCCTGTCGGCTTCAACTTGACCAGATGTCGCCTCATGAAGCTCAGCCTCGCTGCAGCTCGGCGCGGACTCTCCACCAAAAAGCATGACGGCGTGGGTTTTTTGTTTGCCCTCCTGAGCACGAAACAGCAGACCGTGTTTCGTTTCACTATTGTTAGCACATCCCGTTCCCCGGTATGTGGCATGCAACTGGTAGCATGGTTACTTGAGGTGGAGCCGATGTTGACCAGGGCTCATCCCAAACTGAGGGCTAGCAACAGCAAACCAAGGAGTGTGATGGGCCATCCGCCCCAAGTGCCCTGGCCTTCCGATCCGACCACGTGAGGCATTTGCCGTAGTTGGCGCAGAGAGGCAGGGTGCCTTTGGAGCAAAGGAGGGGAGACTTGACGCCAGGAGGCCATCTTCCCATTTGGCAGGTTCTTGCGGTATCTTCCCGAAAATAAAAGTCATCGAGTGCTTGGATTCTCTCCGCTTTGCTCTCAATACTTCATGCAATTTAGTTTTTAGCCGTCCGGAAAAAAGGAGAGAAGAATCCGATCGGCAGGATGAGCAACTTTCAGTGTCCCTCCTGGACCCTCAAAATGGGCGAGTGCCCCAAAATTATAGTTGGTGAGTTCCCTTCATGGGTGGTTTGAGGGTCCAACTGGACGTTTCTCAAAATGGCCGTGGTCTTCTATGGGGGGAAAAACACATGCCTACCCACGTGAGTGGCATTTTTTTTTAGCATCCCAGTAGGGTTTGTTCAGGTGATCCTTTTGACTCCTTCAAAGCCTATCCCAAGAGCTATGACCTGGCCGTTGACGCCAAAAGACCAGAAATAGGCCCTTCTATGGTTAACAACAAAAACATGGCTATATCCCACTTGGGTGGCTTTGTTTTTGAACATCCAAGACCCACTTGAGTGGCATATTTTTTTTTCTGAACATCCAAGCATGCTCCAGGCCCTTCATGTTTTTCCTCCGCGCCCAACCAGATTTGGGAAAGGAAAAAAACCAAAGAAAGGATTTGTTCTTTCGAATCTCCAAGTAGGCCCCCAATTTTCCCTCGCCCGGCGTCCCAAACCCCCACGCGAAATTCGATCTGCCGCCAGGAAGGCAGCGCTGTGCCTCACGGGGCATCTCCGCAGCGCCGCCCGCGATGCCGCGCGGCTCTTTGTGGAGCCGCTGCGCCACGTGGTGCTCGGCCCCTCGTCTCGGGAACGCTCGGAACGTGAGTGAGGCACGAGTCGAGGCGCTGGCCATTTCTAGGTTTTTCCAGCTAGGTGCCAACGTCTTTACCGGTTTTTTTTGGGTTGGGAGGGAAAACCCCCTAAAAAAGAGTAGAGGGAAAAGGGTACCCTTATTCTAACCTCTCTATTGGAGGACCTAGCCATGGTTTCAACCAGAGGTTCAATGGGTTGATATGTCGTTTTCCAGGTGTTCAACCACCAAATGGTTCAGGGGTCAATTGACAACTTGCTATGCATCTGAAGAGTTGGTACCACCTAAGAGGTTGGCGGACATCAATCCTGACCTTTGTTTGATGTCCGCCAACTCCCCAGTAAATGTGCTTTACTATCAAGACTTGTTGAGTCCTCCCAAAAAGAAACGATCAAGATTGACCAAAGGTGCTGAGACAAACACACAACAACGGAATTGCAATACTGTGGACATCAATTTCGCACCCGTTGGTATGCCCATTCTTTTGAAGGTGCAATGGGAGCACTTCGTCCAATCGCCGATGCAGGAATTTGTCTGGACCAGCTCATTTTCTCATGTTATGTTGACAAATGATTAAGAAGCCCTTTGAATTAGTAAAGGCAAGCATTTCCCACAAATCCCAACAGGAACCTGGTGTTCCACGTCAACAGTTGCTGATACTCCTATATTCTGTTATTCTATCTGAAGTGTTGCTTGGAAGCCGTGATATTTGAGCTGAGCCAAAATCGGTGGCTTCCAAGGTGGTCTCCCTGTGACTTCCCTTCAAAACGACATCCCCCAAAGAGGTCACCGGCGCCAAGAGTCCAATTGAGGTAGCTGACCTTGTTGCAATTTTGCCCTTGTGGATTTCCGTTATGGCTGTGGCTCAAAAGCCTGTACTAAAATGGCACCTTGGTAGGTGGAGCCAAAGACCAACACCTGCGTAACCCTAGCTGCTTATATTAAATATGTTGAGCCACACCCTTATTGGTCCAAAGTGGTGAACATGAATCCCCGAATTCTGATGTTCACCAAGGGGTCCCCTGGTGAATTCACTCATGCGGATTAGGGCTGGCGATCACCCAAGCCTTAAGAAGAGCGTCACTCTGGTCGATGCACGCCAAGGTCCCCTCAGACGTGCCGGATACGATGTGGACGTTTTTGCTGTGACAGACGCCGGCGAGGACGTTTGTGTTTCCTTGAATATCGATATCTATCGTTATATGTATATACACAATTATACACATATGCATATGTATACATACACATATATATATATATATATGTTCATGTTGTGTTTCATGTATTTGCTTAGTTACTTTTTTGGGGGGCCACAAACAGCTCTCGCAATCCACGTTTGTTTGCATCCATTTTGAGGTTGCACTGGGAACGGAGATTCCGCATATTGCACGGGCTTTGGAGATGGGCTAGGACTGCGAGCAGACCCGGACGATGTTGCGGCCTTTGAATCTGCAAGCCCTGCACTGCGTGCCCGCGGTGGATGTTGAGGACGTGCGAAGGCCAGGCATCACCTTACCTCAGATTGCTCTAAGTTGCCGAAAAGGATGCCAAGGGATAAGTAATTGCTTGAGTTGTCCCTCTATGTTAACACCAGGTTTGAGACAGCGTGGCAAGCGAATCGATTTACGAACTGCCAAGATGGCTACGCTGCCAGTCACTTGACCATATGAATTGAGGCATTTTCGCCTGAATTGAAGCTTAGAGGCGGTTTGTTTCTCAAAGTCGTTCGAACAGTGTGGCTCAAAACATGCAGTCCCAAAATGGCACGTTTCATTTCTTCCATTTGCTTGAGGATAGTTGTTTAATTTCCCCTAGTGGTTTTCAAGGGAATCTATCACTACTGGAAATATGTGTTTGTGTGTGCTGTTGTTTTTTTGTTTTCTCTGGGGGCGAAGGCACATGGAGGCAAGCAGTTTGGTTGTTGTTGTGCGGGCTTAAGCAAATGACAGGTTTTGAGCCATCTCCTTTCAAAAGCGTCAGGAGCGACTACTGAAATATGTGTGTTTTTTGTTCATATGTTTTTCTCTGGGGGCTAAAGCATGGCAGATGTTGAGCCATCTCCGTTCTCAAGAACGTCAGGAGAGAGGAGCGGTGGCTCTCCAAGGGCCCTCACACCGTGTGGGACCGGCAAGCCTTCCTGGGCCAGCTGAAGAAGGCGGGCAGAAAGTGGTCCACTGTGGGCTTTGGGCCATAGGGCGGTGAAAGTGAAACCTGGCCACGGGTATGGACCAGGGTATGGGTCTCTTTAAAAGGATGGGTCAAGGTGAAACCAGGGGACCACAGTTATGGACCATTCGTCTAGGGGTTGATTCCTTTTCTTTTTTTTATCATCGTTCTTTTCAAAAACCTGCTGTTTCCATACAGTGGGTGGGCAAAATCCACCTAGGCACCACCTAAGAAACCCTGGCTTCTGATAAATCCACCGTAATACCAACAGACGAAGGTCCCGCATGGCCTGAAAGTGGTGCAGGATTTCGTCCATCCACAGTAGGGTGTGGGTCAAGGTGAAACCATTTGGGCACCTTTTGGCCACGGGTATGGACCAGTAGGGTATGGGTCTTTAAAAAATGAAGAAGATGTGGACCACTGGTTTTAGTCCATGAATGGGAATGGGTCCAAATCATATAGTCACCACCAGGATATGGACCACAGGTTCATTTTCCAGGGCAAGCCATTTTGGAGTTACCCAATTTTCTGACCACAGCCAGGTGGCTCTACTTGGCTTGATATATGGCTGGCTCCAAACATGGAATCCCCAGAATGGCTCCTCGGTAAATGGAAAAGACTAAAACCTACATGACCCTAAATTTTCAATTTAGATCCACACCCATATCATAATCCAAAATGACAATGAACACCATCTTAGAACCAAAAGACCAGGGACCCGTTTCGCGCACTCAAGTGAGCACCCCATTTCCCCCTCCCCATTTGGGTCGAGTCATCCCCTGAAACTAAAGGAAAAAGGAATTGTGCCACCTTGGGTGTGTCCCTTTTTAGAGTACTTGTGTTTGTGGTTGTACCACCTTCTTCGGTTCTACCTTTTTGTAGGGTTCTGTTTTTGCGGTTTGCAATGTTTGCAAGAGGAAAACCCATCCCAGGGACTCTTTGCGACTCAAAACCCCATGAGTCTTGACAGGTGCGGGTCTGTGATGAGCTCCTGGAACAGTCTGAGCAGCCCTACCGCCTGGTGGCGCGCTCGCGGATGGATGCACGCCCCTGGTTTTGCGAAAGCTTACTCGTTGCTGCTGCGATAGGTGGGGAATGAGAAATGGAATGAAATGGAATAAAACTGGGGGGATTCCCCTAAAGCAAACATAGTTTGGATGGTTTATAGGGGTCATTCCATTTCTTATTCACTGACTATTGCACCATCAAGTCATGGGTGACCCGTTGAATGGGGTCTAAATAGCTTCCTTTTCGGATGCGAACGCCGCTTGGTGGTCCTTTTGGTGTAACCTGGAACCTGTTTTTTGGGTAAGAACCCGGATAGGATTTGATTCACGCGAACACTTGTGCGCCCCACTTGTATGCTTTTTCTCTCGAGCAGAAGTAGGGCCTTTTTTGACCTTATCTTTGGCTCGCGAATGCTACTTTCAACTGCGTGCCAAAAGCGTAAACAGACCTCCTATATGTCTGTTCGAGTCACAAGTGTGCGGACGCGTGAGCGTTCAAGTCACTCATCCACTCGTCCACTTGCTCGCCCGTAAGCAACTGACAGACACTAGTTAGTTATATTATATAGTCGGTTATAAACGTTGTTAGTTTATCCACAAAAACATGGGGCTGCCCATGTCCTGTCGGGACGCGTAGTCTGCTTAGGGGTCAGCAAAGGTCCCCGTGCCGGGGACATCCCAAGATTGCTTCAACGAAATGAGATATACAGCCACCATATTGCTAGAAAGGGTATGTACCCCCGTTTCTCTCCATCTTCGACCTTCCTCCTTTGCATGATTTCAACAAACACCCGATCCTGTTTGTGTTGTTGATCTCCTTGGCCAGAGTGTTTGCCTCGCAGAGCTGGCTTGGTCACGGTACATGAGCCAAAATCAAAACCCGGGTAGATGAAGGATAGTAAGGGACAATCCCAACCACAAATAGCTGCGGATATCCGCCTTCTTAATTCTTGAAGCATGGTTGTGGGTCGACCATTTGACTACCGGGTTTCGGTTCTGGTGGCTTTGTTTTCGCATCCAAGGCTGGCACCGATTCCCTGAGGATGCGCGCCAGTTGGAAGTGCCTGGCGGGGTGGTGAGTATCTGCCAGTTGCCAAGTGGGTTGCTTCCCTTTCTTCCTTTTTCTTTTTTGGGAAGGGTGTCCCTTTAAAGTCAGATGTTTTTCGCCTGGCCACTGGTCCCAAATCCACATTGAATGTGGGTTTGTGGGAGGGACGGTATCACTTTTGCTAGAATTGTAAAGCTTGAGCCATGCTTTGGGAGATATGCAACAAGCCCGTGATCACATTGTCAGAGTCGAAGCCTTGATGGCCAATCTCGCTGAATCCGCTCCATGTCCTTGATCAAGTTTGCAAAACTGAGGTTCAAACCACCAGTGCAAAAACACAGGGGGCTTAATGGAACCGCCATTATTTCCGTAAGGGGGTTTCATCATCCAAAATTTGGGTGAACAATTCTTTTAATGAGGGCTGAACCCCTGAAAAAAGCTGGCATCTCATCATTTACCAGATTTCCCTAAAGACCTGCTTTCTTGGTTGTGGGATGGTCATGAACCCTTTAGTAAGGGATTTAGCCAACTTCTGCAAAGGTTGCTATGGAGGGTCATGGCCCGAAAAAGGAGCTTGACGATTCTCAGCTGACACCTCTGAGCTCGTTTTGCCTTTTCCGCCCCTGCGAGGTGTCATATGGCTACCCCTCCGCTCTGTAGAGAGCACCGCGCAGTATATGAGCGACCAGTTTGCCATCGGGAGGTATCCTGAGATGCGACCTGCATCAATGGGTTTTTGTTAACCTGTTTTCCGGTTGTTAAGCAGAAACTAAAGGAAAACGACCCTTCGGAGGGTTGATCCTCCTTCCCAACTGTGTGCCACTTCCAGCAGTTCCGGCATGGTCCCTCATAGGGTTAGAGGGTCATGACCCTTACACATGGAATCTTACGGCATTGGCTTTTTGGAAGTAGATCACTAGTTCATCGGCTTTTCGTGATGTCCAAGTCAAGTTGCCAGGTTTCTTCGGACTCCGTCTCAAAATCTTGCCAAGTTTCACTCCTCCGGTCTTGCGTAGCTTTCGCGTCCCGGCTAGGCGCGCCTACTTGCGCGTCTATGATGAAGCACTGGATCGAGGCGCAGTCGGGTTTGGGGGTTTGGGGGGCCCCGAACCGCTTTCTGCCTCCAGGTGAGTAAGCAAGCAAGCTGCCTAAATTATCGCCATGGCTGGTCTGTCAACGGGACCCTTTTTGTACAGTTCCGCATGTTTGTTGGGTGATGAAACATATTGTGTAGCCAGGGGTGCCGCTCAGTCCAAGTAGGGGGAAGTGCTTGTCACCTTGAAGATGGCAGACCCGTTCGCTTTTTCGACCCTGTAGCCAGTTTGTTGATCCACAAACATGGTCCAGGCTAGTAGCAATAATAAGAAAATCACAGCACCGAATCGGGTGCTGGTTGTTGTTATGTTTGGTGGGTGTTTAGGTCCCCCAGTAGTGCCCCTTTACCAAAACTTTTTCTGGGGGGAGAGTTCCCGTACTAAAATTGAATAAAACAGAAAAAAACAGAGAAACAATGAAGAAAACCTCGGGTACCAACTTATTCTAACCGCTCCACTGGAGAACCTAGGTGCCTTTCCGTGTCCGTCCGGAGCCGTCAGGGCAATGGAAGCTGTACCGCTCCTTCGAGTCGACCCCCGATGGCCTCGACACCGAGGAGCTCTGGCAGGCCGCTGATTCGTTGGCTCAAAAGAGCCACCATTGACCTTGGTGCTTCCCAGCCCTCCGGTTACTTATGATGTGTTTAGGTGGTTTAGTGGTAGTTTTCGAAATTTGTTTGATGCATTTAGTTGGTTTAGTGGTAGTTTCCGAAATTTGTTTTGATGTGTTTAGTTGGTTTAGTGGTAGTTTTCGACATTTGTTTTGATGGGTTTAGTGGTAGTTTTCGAAATTTGTTTTGATGTGTTTAGTTGGTTTAGTGGTAGTTTCCGAAATTTCTTTTGATGTGTTTAGTTGGTTTAGTGGTAGTTTTCGACATTTGTTTTGATGCATTTAGTTGGTTTAGTGGTAGTTTCCGAAATTTGTTTTGATGTGTTTAGTTGGTTTAGTCGTAGTTTTCGACATTTGTTTTGATGCATTTAGTTGGTTTAGTGGTAGTTTTCGAATTTTGTTTTGATGCATTTAGTTGGTTTAGTGGTAGTTTTCGAAAACAAAATGATGCATTTAGTTGGTTTAGTGGTAGTTTTCGAAATTTATTTTGATGTGTTTAGTTGGTTTAGTGGTAGTTTTCGATATTTGTTTTGCATTTAGTGGGTTTAGTGGTATTTTTTCCGAATTCAACCCGCTCAAGTGAAGCTTTGTGCAGGGGACCTGAGGACAGCCCAGTTATCTAAGCTTGAGAGTCTATGCGGGTTGAACCCTATATAGGGCGCTTTGTTAGATTTTTTTCTCTGGGGGGGTGGGTTGTTGTAAAGGGAAAAGAGAAGTCAGCCGCGCGTTTTAAGGGTTCCCATATTTTGTCGCAAACCCAAGCGGTATACCCACCTCTTTGGTTGAGAGGAAGCACTGGTATATTTTTTCTCAAAATGCAATTGCCTATCCGTTAATACCATGGTTTGGTCACATATAGCTTGCCCCCCCCTTTTGTGGTCCAAGAAAAGGTCCGAGCCAGGATCGTTGTTTGCTACAAAGAAGTGACAAGCTCTGCTTTTGGTATGTGAGGGAACGTAGCTTGTCACTGAAACGATGTGTCTTTTGTTTTTATGTTCGCTTTGGCGCGCTTTTTGTGAAGCTGCTCACTTGTCAGCTTGGCCCAGTTCACACATGGCCACTAATGTTTAATACGTAGCCACCTCCAGAGAAAAAGAGAGTTAGTTAAACAAACAAAAACAAAAACGTACATGCTGTCCGCCATAGGGTCCCTAGATTTAAAAGGAACCATGCCCAAGTAGATTGCTCCCTCTCAACAAACATGGAAGTGCACAGGCCCTGGTTGGAAGACTGCGTCACTCTATGTGAGAGGGTGACAGGATAAGCCAATGGTTGAGCAGGTATCCCATGTTAGGCATGCGGATCAGCACAGGGAGCCTTCACTGACATCGGTCGGTCCATATTGGATGTCTCCAGCAAAGTCGCCATGCTCCTGATTATTTGGTCTGAGGTTATTTGGTGAGGTTTCATTTGGGCGGAGGTTAAGACATTTCGGGGCATCCATGTGCCACCTGTACGTCCATGCATCTCACATAAGTTCCTTCTTCATGAGCCCAAAAAGGGTACCCTCAAACACGTCAAACATGTAGCTTGAATGAGGTTGCGGTGCAAATGGTCAGGGACCCATGTGACTTGTTTGGACGGCTAGCCTCAACCGACCAGGTAATCCTTGGTGGTTTTGGTGTTGCTTGGATTCTTCTCCGCGTCTTGCAAAGATGGGACACCGAGGGCCCTCCCAAACGATGAGCCCCTTCCATTTGCTTAAGAATATGTTTGATTTTCCCCTGTTGGTTTTAGAGGGAATCTGTCACCATCGGATTTTTGTCTTTTTTTTCCAGGGGTCTTCACCAAATGGAAGATTCCTCTTTGATCGGGTCTTTTTGTTGATACTTTTGAGCCAAACACCTGGCTGGACGCCCGCCCGAGCGCTGGCCGACCGAGTCCCGGCCACCCGGAGCGCCAGGTGAGCCTTTTGAAAGCGGGGGTCATCGCCCGGCAGCACCGGGAGATTTGCTTCAACCTGCCACCGGGCGCAAAATATGGCGACGTAGAAAAGCGAAGCGGAGAAGCCCCAGCCTTCTACGTGGGGATTTATATAGAAACAACACAACATGTAAGTGAATGAGTGTTCTATATATATATAGATATGTCTAGTAAATATGTGTGTAGTTGACCTTTTCCAGAAATACGTGGGATGGCTCTTGGGGGAAAGTGGTCATGCGAGTGCCAGGAATATTGATCAACCCCCGTATGCTGAATATGGGTGTGTCTTTTTTAAGTGGACCCCCAAAATTGATTTTCCTCTAAGGGGTTCCCTAAGAACAGACAGACCCGTATGTATATACACATGGTGTGGTTTAATGTGGTACGTATAGTTCTTTTTTTTGCGTGTTTTTGTTTGGTGACTTGAACAGTTAGCGGCAATCTACGCTGGACATATGTCTCCATGTTTTCCAAGGGACATATTCGCACATGGCTTGCTCCGACATGGCTTGCGCTGAAGTGAGGCAGGTGATTCCTCCAAGCATTCCTTTGGGGGAGCTGGTGTTCAAGCGATCCCGATGAGAAGGTGACCCCTTAATGAACTGAAAGTGACACCAGGCAAAGCAGGAAGGGGGGGTCAAATCACGGTTTGCTGCTCAAAAACAGCGGGCCAGTTTGAAGCCCCATTTGGCTTTGCTATTGGCTTGGATCTGTAGACTTTAACTTTTTGCGGAAAAGATTTACCCTACGAAGCAGCAACCAGCACCCCCCCCCCCCCCTACAACCACTTCTTTTTTGGCATAGGTTGAGCCATCCAGTCGCCCCAGGAAACGAAGCAAGTGACAATCAAGTTGCATAGGTTGAGTCATTCCAGCCGGCAGTTGCATCGGTGCATCCGGAGGTTGGCCAAAAAGTCTTCGGATCCTTGGCAAGAGCGGGAGGACAACTGCCGACACCCGGAGCTGCACCGAAATGGCTACATCACTGATACCGCATGGCGCGCCATGGACGAAACGGGCCGTTTCCCAATCCCCGGCATGGTCATTCTTTGTATGAAAAGGCGGTTTATTCGTTTTGGGGGTTACGTTGTTTTTCACGGGAAACGGAAAGGAAAACCGTTTTACCCTCCAAATCCCTTTCATGTTCTGTGTTCCCCGACCCACATTTGGGTTGGCCAAGGACTCTGAACTGGGTAAGCATTGGACTGTCAGGAATCGAGGGCCCAAGAGGGTGGAATTGAGAAGTCGTGCAGGCACTCTGCAAGATCCTTACCGCAAGAGCGGCGAAAGGATCCGGCCCCATTTGTCACATTCTTGGTTTTCAGAGAGTGCAGCCACTGCCTGTCTTCCAAACCAGGGCAAACCATCAATTGCCCCAAACCCTGTTTGGGCCGCGAAAAAAAACACGCGATGGATTGCCCACTCCACTTTGAGATATGGGTCAACCAAAATATGGACCGCAAGTGTTTGTCCATTCCATTTATCAACCCATTTTGGGCTTGGCAGCCGCCGCCATCTTTTTGGACCCACAAAATGCCAGTCTTCCAGAAAGCCTGGCGACAGGTACAGGGTGCCCCTGGCCACTTTGCCTGGCATGTTCTCCTTCGACGTGCTCTTCACCATGCGGCGCGGAAGCCGAATCTTCAGCTCCTCCCCCTAACGTGGAGCTCTCAGGACCCCTTTGGAAGCTCAGTTGTTCAGTGGCACCTTTTTGGCTTTTTTGGTGGCTGCCCCACCAATCATGGTCTTCCCAAGAAAAAGGTTCCCTTTTGGTGCCAGGGTCACTGAACAACTGAGGAAGACTTGGTTCCATTTACCGCAGCCTTCTGGGAGCTTTATGTTGGTCCGAGGGAGTGTAGCTTTTCCGCAAAAGTCGGAAGATCTGAAGCTCGAAGTTGGCCAAAGTCTTTTGAGTTGTTGGTGGTCCGTTGGGTTCAAAGCTGTCAAGTTGCCCCACAAAAGCCCAGAAAGAAGCTCCTTTTTTTCCCCACCAGCTGAAAGCTATGGGGTTTCTGCCCAGCAGGCTCTGGGGTGGTTCACCCGGACTATTTGTTGTCCACAAGAGAACCAGGGCACTATCTCTCACATCCTGAGTTCCATTTTGGACCTTACAAGCTGTTGGGTTTGGACCATTTTAGTGGTAAACAAGCTTCCATTTGCTTAGGAATGATTTATTTTCCCCGTTTTGTTATGTTAAATAGAATCCATCACTACTGGAATTTGTTGTTATTTTTTTCCTGGGGACTTAAGCAAATGGAGGCAAACAGCTTGGAGTCTTGTTCTGACTCTTAGCTGTCCAGGCTGCTGCACCTGTTCTTCGCGGAGTGGACTCGTATCGGCCGGCCGGCAAAGGTGTGCTTTGGCTGAGTTGAGGGTCCCCTTCTCAGGTGCGTTAGGGACAGCAAGTTGAGAACCGGTGTTTCTTAGGTCCTCCTAGTTTTGCACATACCCTATTGATGTTAGATGAAATGAGAGGATCGCTTTCTTGCAAGGGCATCTCCAGCGCAGAAAAGCTGGATTGTGTATCAGGGTGTCAAGATTACCAAGCGATTCGACAGCAATTGAGTGGATTCGTGACACATGTTCATGGACAGGCTAGTGAAGAAATGTGTTGCTTGTTGAATGTCTTCCTTTGGAAGGACTTTGCAACATGCATTGCAGGGAAGAGCGCCATGCAGAAGACGGGTCGTACAGTTGCGCACGATGAGTTTCGCTGCTTTCCGAACATGCGAGCGATTCATGAAATCACAGCAGCACGGAGTCGCGAGCCAAGTGCCTTGTCTGTCTTTTGAAGGAGGCTTCTCTTTCACCAAACGCTAAGGCTCGATTTGGGCTGCGGCCGCGCGACGATGATCGAGCGCTGGCTCAAGTTCCATCCGGCCAGCATTGCTGGCGTTGACATGTTGCCAGGACACTCGGCGCGGAAGCTGCCACATGGCCGTGGGTCAACACCAATGGTACTATCTTGGGGTTAGGTGCACCACCCATTTTAGTCTATTTTAGTGGGGATTGGGATGTTCACTTGGGGGTACGGGGTTTCGACCCATGGCCATATGGATATGAGTTGGAATGGGGAAAACTCCCGCAACAGTGGACATCAATCCCCACCTTTGTCCACCCAAGGGTTCCCAAGTTGGATTCAAAATTGCGAGCTGACCTTTAAAGAGCTCATGAAGATTGTTTGGGGATACCTCATGTTCTTTTGCGTGCTTGGATGGCTTGCTATGAGCTTCACGCAAAGCTACGAGTAGTCCATCGTCATTTTTGGAGGGGCTCATTGCATTTCATTGCGGGAGCAAATGGTTTGACCGAAGATCACAACTTCCCAGGCAACGCTTGCCTTGGTTCTCCTATGCAGCTTGATGACCGCTTCATGTGAGCCTTCCGAGCTAAAGTTCCTCAAACCCGCCAGAAACGCTCCGAGCTAAGGTTTTTCAAACCCGCCAGAAACTGGTATTTCCTTTGCCAACAAGTATGTGTCAAGAATGATAACCCTTGGCTGTAAAAACACCTAAACCCCATGGCCGTTTTTGTCTTGGTCATCTTGCCGAACAAGTTGTCATACGGTGTTTCCTTAAAAAACAACATATATATATATATATACAAAACCAGGGTCCATGGGGGGTGCCATACACATATATATATATATATAGATATATACTCAGTTGTTCAGTGGCATCCTTTTTTCTTTTTCTTTTTTGTTGTAGTGGCTGCCCCACTAAACATCGTCTTCCCAAAAAAGGTTCCCTTTTGGTGCCAGGGTCACTGAACAACTGAGGAAGACTTGGTTCCATTTACCGCAGCCTTCTGGGCACATTTTTCGACTTACCGGGGGGTCCATTTTGGGTACCTATTTTGTTGTC